GAGGCATTAACCTGAAGGGAAACGAGTTATTAGGGAAGATGAGGAAAGCGAAATTAGGTGCCTTGGATCTGACTAAAACCAAGAAAAATTGGGTAAGCAATCACAGATCGCGATGGATGTATGCTGCTCTACAGTGGTGTCCCCATGAGGGAGAGAGCCAAGGGAAGTGCTGGCTGTTTTGCGGCCAGGAATCACCACGTCCTGTTGCTGGACGATCACTAAGCGTGACACCCCTGCAACATTGGACAGGACTCACGACACAACTAAGCATGAATGGCAAGGGAAGTCACTCGCTTTCTGGGCCCGACTTCGGTACTTGAATTATATATCGATAAATATAAATAAATTTAGGGAGCAGAGCTCCGACCTATCTTTCACAATATATACACAGTCTCTCTTTAGTTATTTGCTTATACATTTAATATTATTTCAAATATATTGTTCTCTGTCCTTCAGCACATAATAATCATAATAACAATAAATATTGTTATTATTATTGCACAATTAAACAAGACTTAATCCCTCCTGAGCTACAACATTTTTATAGGAGTGATAGTTCGAAGAGCTAAAGCTTTTTTTCATTGCTCAAAATAATAAAAGACAACAATAATAAATAATAAGTATTGTTAATTCTTTATTAAACAAAACTTGAGCATCCCAGCCTTTTTTTTCCCTTGCCTTCTTTCTCGGTGGGTAAACTATCAAAAGTCTACATTTTAGTGAGAAATTCTGTGGAAACTACCGACATGTATTTCATAGTTTAGAAAGAAATTAACCTATAAAAGAAAATAATAAAAGAAATATAGGTTTTCATAAAGAGAATATATTTTTTTCCAAGTGACAATCGGAATGGGAAGAGTAGCAAGGGAAGATAATCAGAGCAAATGTCCAGTCGGATTAAAAAAAAAAATTTTTTTTTTAAAGAAATAACCTAGGCTTCTAGGTCGACTTCTAAAATGAATGCTAGGTCAATCCTGTAAAGTAAAGTGGGTCGGCAGCAGGTTGACTGCATCCCCCATAGAGCATCGATCGGTCTGTAAACCCTTTGCCTGATGTTCCATTGGCGTAAAGAATGGTTTCCTTTTCTGTACTTTTACTGGTAAGTTCAAATCGCTGTTTGTTGCACATTTTTGAAGGTTCAAATCGCTGGTTGTTGCAAATTATTTTTATGGCGACACAGACAAAACCCGTCTGTATGTTTATTGATTTTTTTTTTTTTTTTTTTGGTTGTTTTAGACTTCATCAAGTTCAGCAATTTTCCATTTTTGACTCAACGATACAATCCTCATCATCATCAGTTCTCGTTATGCCTAGTGGCACATGAGGCTTCAGAGAGGACTTTCCATGCTTTCCTGTCCTGTGCAATCTTCAGTGCAGTTTTCCATGTCAAAGATGCCGCACTCAGGTCACTTTCCATCGTTCGTCCCCATGTTGTTTTTGGGCGCCCCTGTTATATACAACCCTCATACCGGTGTC